TAATTTCCTTACTTTGACACAATCACTGCTAACATTTATTGAATTCTTTAGACTTTCTTGTGTACCCTTTTCTCAAACATACATAAAATGCAATAACCTTCCTCTTCCTCTTCACAGTGCATCATATTATTTTATACTGCGATGTGGTTCTGATGAGCATTCCTTTTTTTTTTTTTTTAATTTTTTTTCAACGTTTATTTATTTTTGGGACAGAGAGAGACAGAGCATGAACGGGGGAGGGGCAGAGAGAGAGGGAGACACAGAATCAGAAACAGGCTCCAGGCTCTGAGCCATCAGCCCAGAGCCTGACGCGGGGCTCGAACTCAGGGACCGCGAGATCGTGACCTGGCTGAAGTCGGACGCTTAACCAACTGCGCCACCCAGGCACCCCTGATGAGCATTCCTTCGACAGGCAGTTCATGAGCGCCTACTGCATGCCCGGCAGTGTTCCAGGCACTGGGGATACAGCACTAAATAAAGCAGACAAACTCCTTTCGCTATGGAGCCCATATTCTGATGGGAGAGACAAACAATGAACCAAAAATTAAAATAGATGACATTTCTTACCTTAGCACCAAGAGGAAAGAAACATACCTATGATGCTTAAAACTTGTGCTAAAGAAAGAAAAGAGTGAAAGATAGTTTTTATCCAAAGGACTTTGTGGCACATAACGTCTTGCTTCAACAAAACCAATGCTAACAATTATTTAGCTTGAAGTGTGGGGTATTTAACGCAAGTAATTTTGTCACCTTTTTTAAAATTTATTTTTTTTAATGTTTTTTATTTATTTTCGAGAAGGAGAGATAGAGCGCGAGCAGGGGAGGGGCAGAGAGAGAGGGAGACACAGAATCTGAAGCAGGCTCCAGGCTCTGAGCTGTCAGCACAGAGCCCGACGTGGGGCTTGAACTCATGGACCACGAGATCATGACCTGAACTCAAGTTGGATGCTTAAGTGACTAAGCCACCCAGGTGCCCCTAAATTTCTTTTTTTTTTTTTTTTAATGTTTATTTATTTTTGAGAGGGGGGTGGACGGAGGGGCAGAGAGATGGGGACAGAGGATCTGAAGAGGGCTCTGCGCTGACAGCAGTGAGTCTGATGCGGGGCTCAAACCCCCGAGAACCATATGATGATGACGAAGCTGGACATTCAACTGACTGAGCCACCCAGGTACCTGTTACCTTCTTTTCATTTACTGTCAACATTTTCCAATCTGACATTAAAGCAACATCTTAAAATTTGCATAACAACAGTCCCATATACTAACGAGGGCATTACACCACTGTTGAACATTCAGGTTGTTTCTTTCAGGCGTAATTCTTTCAGAGTGTCTTAGAACTCAGTGCATCAAACTTGTTTTATTCAGGAGTACTGGCTTAGAAGAGAGTGGCAGACAAGAAAGCACAGGGTAAAAGGAATGAACATTTTGGGGGGATGGGATATGAATATTTTTAAAGCTGGGGATGTTGATTGACAAATTGCTTACTTCTTTTTTTAAGTAGGACTGCCCTTAATTTTTTTTTTTTTTTTTTTTGAGAGAGTGTGTCCATGCACCTAAGTGTGGGAGGAGTGGAGAGAGAGGGAGAGAGAGAGAATCCCAAGCAGGTTCCATGCTTAGCGTGGAGCCCATCCGGGGGCTCAATCTCTCGAACCCAGAGTTCGTGATCTGAGCCAAAATTAAGAATCAGAGTCTTAACTGACTGAGCCATCCAGGCCCCCCAACTGACAAATTACTTTCTAAAAGAATCTGCCACTTACACACCTCCCAGCAATCTGTGTGGGAGTACTTATTTAACCCGTTCTTTCCTGAACCTGTGCCTCATCTGCCTCAGTAGCAACTGGAAGCTTACTGGTCCCCTTTCATTCCTGACTGAGTATAAAAGAAAATTGCCAAGGGACACATGGCAGACTAATTCGGTGGCCTACCCAAACGATGGGAGAGAACTTCCTCTCCCCATCAGCCATAGTTCTGCAGTGGGAGAGAAACACTGAGTTTCAATAATTCCTGCAGGAGGGGCTATGAAAACTCACTCAGGCATGGAGAAGCCTTCTTCCTGTCTGCCTTCAGGGAGCTCAACTGGTAAATCAGGAGAAGTAAATTGGCAGGAGTGGAGGTGGGGACTCACTCAGAACAGCCTCATCGTTGGACGTTTTGCCACATGCCGACCCAGATGAGAGCCGGCTTCCCCATCCTGCAGCCCCACCATATGACACAGAATAATTTCTTGCCCAGAGAAGAACGGTGAGGATGAGAAGAACCATGATATACTTGAGTTCTTAAACCTTAGTGTGTCTGAAATTTGTCCCACTGGCACCAGCAACCCCACAGGCTGCAAGGCTTGTGACTCTCTGGGTATGTGGGAGGAATGTGGTTAACGTTTCTTAACAGCCTCACCTGCTAGGGGCAGCTGACAGGGGTCAAGGTGGAGTGTGACATTCAATGCGCTCTAATCCAACAGTCCCAAATGCTGAATGCAAATGCAGGTATTAGGTAGGGGGTTAAGCAGCTTGAGAAGGAATGCCCAGGATACAGACCCAACCTCACATTGCCGTGCCGATCTGAGTGGACACTGCCCCCAGAGCCTACAACTTTATGATTGGCCTGCTGGGGATCTGGCTGGGAGGTGGTTTTCAAGAATTACATTCCTTTCCCTGCCCCGACTAACATTTCTTTAAGCCAAATCCCCTTAAATCAAAAGTATACACACCGAATTTCCAAACCCTCCAGAAACCCCAAGGGGTAAGTTATAGTCAGAAAATGGATAGATAGGCCCAAAAAGGATAGGAAAAAATGCCCAATACATACTTAAAATATCACATTGACAGATACTCTTTTTCAAGTGACACCTGGCTGGCAGATGCTCTTAAATCTGTTTTTATTCTCCCCATAACCTTCAAAATGTGAAACGTCCTTTAAAATAATAAGAGTAAAGGGGCACCTGGGTGGCTCAGCCGGCTGAGCGTCTGACTTCGGCTCAGGTCATGATCTCACAGTTTGTGAGTTCGAGCCCCATGTCGGGCCCTGTGCTGACAGCTCGGAACCTGGATCCTGCTTTGGATTCTGTGTCTCTGTCTCTCTCTGCCCCTCCCCCTCTTGTGCTGTCTCTCAAAAATAAATAAATGTAAACATTAAAAAAAATTGAAATAATAAGAGTTAATGATTTGCTGCCTTTCTGTAGGATTACTGCACCCACAGGTGGTACAGGTCTTTGACCTCACACCAAATTCTGATCATCCTGAGGGCAGCCTCAGCTACTGGCTTGAATTTTGTCTGGTGCAGTATTGGATTTGCCTCCCGATGCTCATTTCACTCCCATCGCTCAAGTAAAAAAAACCACGGTTGTCAGATTCAGGCTAGCAACAGTGTTTATTGAGAAAGGTGAACTGATGCAAGAGATTCTGGTGTCCCTGGCCAAGTGACAGAGACTCTGGTGAACGATTTCAGAATCTTCTGTCCAGAGGGAAGGGCCGAGATACTTTCCAGGGTGAGTCCTTCAGCTTCGTGGGAATGGAGAGAAGATACAAAACCAGGGCAGGCCAAGCACATGTAGGGAAATTGTCCGGAGGGATAAACTGGGCAGCTCACGCTGGGGCTGGTTCCCATGGCTTTGGTGAGCTTTGAAAATGAAAGTCTGAACTGACAGTGACTAATGATACAGCAAGGACAGCTACAAAGATGACTAAGTACGAAAGGGCTGTCGATTCCCATATTCTACAGAAATTTTGGAGAATGAGAGGGCCAGAGAGTCTGACTTCGAGAAGGTATTTCTCAGAAGGTAGTAGCTATTTGTAGGGGTTCAGAGAAAGCATAGCCGGAGACAACAGTCACTCTTGGGGGAGTCTGGGTTTGGTATTCTGGCCAGTGTTATTCCCGACGGGGCAGAGGAGGAAACCCACTTCTTCTTCTACTTGGCGAACATGTATGTGGGTGTCCAGATTGCTGTCTGCACGGTCTCATAGGACCTTTATTGGACTGGAGAAAATTACCGCCCCCCCCCCCCACGCCCACTGCGCTGAGAGAACAGCTGGTCTCAGCAGACTGGTTTGGGGGCGGGGGTGGGAGAGAGTTCAAAAGGCGCTGAGGTTCTGAGAAAGCTAATGAAGGAGACCCTGGGAGTCCAGGCAGCGCCGGCTGGGGCGGCCTGCAGCCAGCAGAGAAGGCATGTCTGGGGAAGCCGGCACCACCCCCACCCCCTACGCACTCCCGCGGGTCTTGTCCCCCACCGCGGGCTCCGGGGCCGCCACCTCCACCGGGCCGGGGCGGCTACGGCACTGCCGAGCCAGCGTTCGCCGGCCGGGCTCGCTCCCAGCTGCCGGCCGGACTCCGGAACACTGAGCTGTCGTCCCTGCAGAGCGAGGACACCGAGCTGCCCCTGCGCGCCGGGCGGTCGGCGCGCAAGCAGACTCCGCGCCAGGCTCGGGCGCGGAACGAACGGTCCAGCAGCAGGTAGATGAGCGGGTTGGCGCAGCTGTTGACGAAGGCCAGGCAGGTGGCGATGCTGAGGCCCCAGCGCAGCGCCAGCAGCAGGCCGCAGGGCAGCGGCACCGCCCCCAGGCGCGCCAGGTGGAAGACGGCCCGCAGGGCGCCGAAGGGCAGCCAGGAGCCCACGAACGCGCTCTCGACGGCGAAGATGATGCGCAGCGAGTTCCTCCGGGCCCGGCCCAGGTGCGGCGGCCGGCGCAGGCGGCAGGAGATGCGGCAGTAGCAGACCAGGGTGACGCCCAGGGGCAGCACGCAGGTGAGCAGCAGCACCAGCAGGCTCAGGCCCTGGAAGGCGTCGGAGGGCTCCTCCCCGCACTGGCTGCCCCCGCCGCCGGGGAGGGGCTGCAGCCCCCGGTAGGCCAGGGAGGGCAGGCCGGCCAGGAGCGCCACGGCCCACACGCCGCAGCAGACGGCCAGCGCGCAGCGCGGGGTGCGCAGGGGCCGCGCGTCGAGCAGCTTCACCACCGCCAGGTAGCGGTCCACGCTCAGGCCCGCCAGCAGCAGCGCGCCTGCGCAGCGCGTGCCGGCCAGCGCGAAGCCGCTGAGCTTGCAGAGGCCCTCGCCGAAGGGCCAGCGGCCGCCGCTCGCCGCCGCCGCCGCCCACAGCGGCAGCGTGAGCACGAAGCCCAGGTCGGCGGCGGCCAGGTGCAGCACGAAGGTGTCCACGAGGCGCCGCGGGCCAGGCCGCGCGGCCAGCAGCCACACCACGAAGGCGTTGCCCAGCAGGCCCACCACGAAGGCCGCCAGGTAGAGCGCGGGGATGTAGGCGTAGCCGTAGGGCAGGTCCGGGGCCAGGCACGGCTCCAGCTCCTCCAGGGCGCCGGACCCCGAGTAGTCCCAGGACGCCGTCCCGGGGCTGGGGCTCCTGGGCTCGGTGGGGTGCATGGCGGGGGCCGTCGGGCCTGTGCCGGACGCAGCCTGGGTGCGGGCTCTCCCAGGGAGAGGTGGGGGGTTGCTCTTCACGGCCGGTGCCCAGCACCTCCCTTCCTGCCACCCTCGACCCAGGCAAATGCGTGGGCAGGAAGGTGGGGGAGGAGGGGGTGGAGTGGGAGGGGCAGGCTCCTGGGGGTAGAGGCCGACGATTTGGGGCTGGCCCCAGGGGAAAGACGGGGACCTGGCGGAGGGGGCTTCACAGCTGGATCCTCCGAGGACAAGGCCTCGGGGCTGGGAGACCCGCTCTGCCCCCCAGGGGGAGTCTGATGTCAGGTTGCAACAGGTGGCGGGTGCCCGAGAGCCTTCCTCCCTTCTCGTCCCCCACTTCGCTCCTTCCCATGCTCCGCGCTGCTGCTTTCTCTAGTTTTATTAGGGGCGAGGGCCTAGAACCCCAGCTGAGGGTTTTGTAAGGCTGGTGCCTCAGCCTGCTGCGGGTCCCCCGTCCTCTAGGAAAGAGGGGTCCTGCTATCTGGTGTGCAACGGGGTTGGGGTGAACTGGGGAGCCTGTGGCTTCGAGGCCTGCCTCCTAAGCAGGCATCGGCCATCAGAGCTCTTCAGCTGTTGTAGGTTCAATGTCTTAACTCAAACAGTGGCTTTTCTGACCAAATCAAGTCTTCATGGAGCCACGTGGGAAGGTTTTCAGCTAGAGAGGGAGAGCTACCCAGCTAGAAAGGATCAGAGCCTGGGATTTTAATCCCAGCTCTTCTCTATCTGCCTTCATCTGGCCAAACGTCCCTATTAAGCCAAACACAGAAGTAAGTAAGCTCAGTACAAAAGATGACTCAAGATGGTACCCAATTTCGCAGCACATTAGTTGTCTTTAATTAGGAGTCAGGAGTTTAGAGGAGGATGAAATCCCTTACCTACTGAGGGAGTCAGGGGAAGATTCATGAAAGGGTAGGAATGATGCCTGACTTTGAAAGGAATGGTGGCCCCAGGAGAGGATGGGTGAGAGAAAGCTCACCCTTACTCCAGAAGGTGCCCTTTCTTCTCCCCATTTTGTTTTGTTGATGATTTCCTTGGTTGTGCAGAAGCCTTCTATTATGGTGTGCCCTTTCTACATCAGGGATTTGGGGCAACTCCAGTTAGGTCGGGATCCTTTTTTATCTTTTCAAAAAGTTTTTATAATTTTAAAAATTATTTTTAATTGGATTATTTGTGTTTTGTGTTTAAGGTATAGTTGACATACAATATTAGATTAATTTTGGGTGCACAACATAGTGATTTGACAATTGCATAGTGCTTACCACGAGTGTAGTTATCACATCACCATGCAACATTATTACAATATTACTGACTATATTCCCTATGCGGTACTTTGCATGCCTGTGACTTATTTGTTTTATAACTGGAAGTTTGTACTTCTTAATCCCCTACCTAATTTGCCCACCCTCCAACCTTCCTCTGCTCTGGCAACCACGAGTTCTCTGTATTTGAGTCTATTTCTGTTGTTCATTTGTGGGGTTTTTTTGTTTTGTTTTGGATTCCACATATAAGTGAAATCAAATGGCACTTGCTTTTCTCTGAATATTTTACTTGGCAGGATCTTGGTCTTTTTTTATGGCTGATTAATATTTCATTACATAGAATTAGAGTATACATAGAATAGACAGTGCGTGTGTATATATACACATATATATGTATATATACACACACACACATTTCCTTTGTTGATTTGTCTACCAATAGACACAAGTTGCTTCCATATCTGGACTTTTGTAAATAATGCTGTAATGAGCATAGGAGTGTAAGTATCTTTTTTAATTAGTGTTTTCATTTTTTCTGGGTAGATTCCCAAATGTGTGATATTCTGTTTTTATTGAGGAACCTTCATACTGTTTTCCATAGTGGTTGCACCTGTTCGCATTCCCACCGGCAGTGCATGGAGGTTCTCTTTCCTCCACATCCTTGCCAACACTTGTTATTTCTTGTCTTTTTGGTATTAGCCGCTTTGACTGGTGTGAGGTGATCTCTCGTGGTGTTTTTGATTTGCAATTCCTTGACGATTAGTGATGTTGAGTATCTTTTTATGTGTCTGTTAGCCATCTGTATGTCTTCTTTAGAAAAATGTTTGCTCAGGTCCTCTGCCCATTTTTTAGATTGGATTCTTTGGAGCGCCTGGGTGGCTCAGTCGGTTGAGTGTCTGACTTCAGCTCAGGTCATGGTCTCATGGTTCATGAGTTCGAGCCCCGCCCCAGGTTCTGTGCTAACAAACAGCTCAGAGCCTGGAGCCTGCTTCAGATGCCGTATCTCTCCCCGCGCCCCCCCCCCCCCCAGCTCATGCTCTGTTTCTCATAAATAAATGTTAAAAAAATTTTTTAATTGGATTATTTGTGTTTTCTGGTGTTGAGCTGTAAGTTCTTTGTGTATATTGGGTGTTAACTCCATATCAGATACATCAGTTGCAAATACCTGCTCCCATTAGGTAGGTTGCCTTTTCATTTTGTTGATGGCTTCCTTTGCTGTGCAAAAGCTCTTTATTTTGGTGTGGTCCTGCTTGTTTATCTTTGCTTTTGTTCTGGGTCCGAATTCTTCCTAGCAGACATCCCTCCCATGAGATACTGTGCTGGAACCCATGTTTCAATATGTGTGCTCTCCCAGACCCCACCACACTGTCACCAGGAGCGAGTGACTGACCCATTGGGTGGATTATCAATTTTATTTGATTCAGTTCACTTAACAGTGAGCTCCTTCATGTGGCAGGCACTGTTTTCAGGCATTGAGAGAGAGATGCCACCTTGACCTTGGAAGTTCGTTGTTGAGGCAGGGGAGATAGATACCTATACAGTATGTGCAGGGGCCAACCTGCCAGAAGTCAAACTGGTAAATGTGAAGAGCAAAGTTCTCTTTGAGCTTAGAGGAAAGAACAGTTACTTCTGATGGGAGGGGGTATCAGAAAAGGTCTTCCAGGAGACGGCCCTTGAGTTTCAGTCCAGGAAGGAGATGAAGGGTGAACAGAGCAGCAGTACATGGGCCCAGTGTGACCAGAGCCCAAGGTGGGAGGAGGGTGGCAGGAGAGAAAGCAGGGAGCAGATCACAGGGTGGTCTTGATTTCATCCTGTAGGTAGTGGAGAGCCACTGGACCTTTGAGAGTAGGGCATGACATCCATCTGTTTTGAAAGGATCACTGGCAGAACTGTGGATTGGACAGGGTGGAGGCCCAGGCCCCAGAGCGGACTATTGTGATTATTTGTGTGGGGATAGGGAGCATGTGAAATAGATTACTGGCAGTGGGGACAGAAAAACGAGGATCTGTTCAAGAGATCATTGTAACATTGTGGATCTCAGCAGAGAGGAGTCAAAAGATGGGTCTGGGTGGCTGTGTTTGGGAACTGTATGAATGCTGTTCACTGGGCCTGGGAATACAGAGAGGCTTGTGTGTGTATGGATTCTGTTTCTTGTTGATTTGAGGTCGGGTGATGAAATCATGTATGATCAAACCGGAGCACTTCTGAGAGTGAAAAAGGATCTATGGTAATTAACTCAGGCCACAAACCAGGACTGTTCTGGGCAAACTGGGACCTACGGTCACCCTAGCTTGAGGTCCCTGTGGCCCAGGGGAATACCCAGGGAGTGGGAAAAATTACGGAGAGTTGGGTATGTCTATGTCTAGGCTGTTCTTGTCAAGACTGTTTCTGCCCGGCCAATTACAAGAGGGGGACAGGCACGCAGGAGAAGAGGCCAGGGAGTCATTGGTTTCTGGCCCGTCCCTCCATGGGCATCCCAAACCTCAGGCTTGAGTTTCCTCTGAAGACCACCCAGAGAGGGTGAGAGCCTATGGGCTGCTGGAGACTCAGAGCAGTTTTTCTAATGTCTGGTCCCACGGTTGCTGGTGAGTGGCACTGAGGCTGGGTGGCCTAGGGGGCCTCAGCCTCCTTCTCTACAAGGCTGGCAAGGACAGCGCTTGCTTGCCAGAGCCTGGGGACAATCGGGGACGGGCCCGGTGCTGCTGGACTTCACCTCCCCTCAGGCATAGTCCGTCTGGGGCAGAGAAGGCATGAGTGACCGTGAAAGCTAGAGATGAATGGGCCGGGAAACCACCAGGTGAGAAAGAAGAATGGGGCAGGGGACTGAGAGGGAAGCCTAGGCAGGGGATTGAGGGGGAAGGAGAAGTAGGTTGTTTAGCAAAAACACAGAGATTCTGGCTTCCTGGGGCTATGGTCTCATACCCGAGGGAAGTCTGTGGCCTAGGGCACGTGGTGGATTCTCTGTGCCATGGCCAAGTCCTGTGGGCCTTTGTGGACCTGTCTGGAGGGGAGGAGGCATCAAAGACTGGATAGATTTCTATCCAACTTGCAGTGACCAAGGCTAACTAACTCCACGATACTCTCTCTCTTCTCCTCCTCAGGGGGACTCCCCACAGGATTAGAAACAAGCCAACGAATAGAATATTCTTCCTGCTTAGCTGAGAATCTCGGCCAGTCTCTGACAGGTGTCAACAAAGCAAAGCAGAAGTGGTCTTCCCTTGTTCTCCATCTTGCCCTCAGGAGCCTTCTCTGGCCTCCGTACCTTATGGGCCTTCCTCTCTCTGGACGACTTTGTTATGTGGGTCAGCCTCGCCTTGCGCATAGAGCTTCCCTCTGTCCATCACCATGATTGGTACGAGCCTGAGAACAAGCTACATAACAAAATACCCATTGCTTTGAACTAGGTTACTTTCAAGAGTAGGTTCCTTTAATTTCTGCCCTTTTATGAGCTATATGTGTAAGCTGTTACATCTTCTCCCCCGCCAATTTTAATTTTTCCGTACACAGAATTTTAACCTCTAGGGAAAATTTTGAACGTTATATTTGCCTTTTTCATGATAAAAGCCATGCGACTAGATTGCAGAATATAAAACAAGCCAAGTCCACTCAGGCCTGGTACTGCACTTTGGTGAATTTCTTTCCGACCAGAGAAGGAGAGAATTTATTTGTAATCCCATATTCTTAGATTTTTGTTTTCACATTCCATTTCAGAGGTTCTCCACATTTTTTTACACAGCTACTTCAGAGTCATTTGTAATTAGAATGTACATACTTTTATAGGCTGCTTTTTTCGATTAATGCCATATAAATCCACATTT